AGTACTTGATCAAATTTGGATTTAAAACAACATTAGAATAATAAGTTTATAAGGAGTAATGGTTTGATATTGCATATATACATATATTTTGAGATAAAAAGTAAAAATAGTAAAAAATATTAATAACCTAATAATTAATTATAACTCATATATAATTATGTTTAAAACACCCTAATCAAATCTCTCTAAAAGACGACTCACATCCATAAGCTGTTTTACATGAAATGACTTATGAGAAAAAAAATTTAAATAGTTTCTTATATCTTATTGTTTGCTTCTAGACCTTTCTCAGATAAACTGCCATGAATGTATATATATATATATATATATATATATATATATATATATATATATATATTTATTCTATTTTTCTAACTTTAGAAAGTTAATTTAAGCTTATGAATTGAAGTCTAAATTGTTATTTACACTTCTTATCTACCTTGTTTTAGATACATTATTTATGCATAATTATATGTAAAAAGTACTAAAAAACATGTAATAAAGCAATATTTAATTAAGGTAAAACACAAGTACTCCATAGAAATGTATTTTCATGTTCTTAGTGTCAATATATTTTAAAAGCAACAAGGTACTTTTTTGGTTTCTTAAATATTTATTCTTAGTTTCGCCAAAAATAAGACTACAATTTTTTCAAAATATATAAAAAATAAAAGTGCTATTAGAGCATGTTTTATTTATTCTAGTTTAAAATGCCTATGGAATGTTAAATAGTTTAATTTTATTACCTACATATATGTTTCTGTCTGTTTTTTTCTCAAAAAGTGTCTCTATTGAAAAAAGTGCTTGTAAAATATTTAGAAAAAAAAAAAGTTTTTTAGACCAACACTGTATAAATTTTATGATAGGTATGGTGTTATGATATGTCAATTAGTAGTGTACACTGGACTTTTAGATGTTTGAGTTTTGACACTTACACACATTTTGCCAACTCCAAACTTTTGTATGTTCATACTTATGTCAAATGAGAATGTTTTGCAAAAAGTTGTGGTGATTGGAGCTTGGGGACAAAAAACCCCCAATTTTCGGGCCCTTAACGTTGGAGCAACAAGTTGATAAAATAATTTCTTTAGTATTTTTATCTAAGTTTATATTCATCAACGAATTTCAAATTTCATGCAATCACCTCTTAGTTTTTAGTTTTTATTACCCTAAAAAGTTTACAGCCCCCTCAAATTGAGGGGGGGGTTAAAACTTTATATGGTCATAATTTTCGAAAAATAAGAAATTATTGGATGGAATTTGAGATTTGTTGATGATTATAAACTTAGATAAAAATACTAAAAAAATTATTTTATCAACTTGTTGCTCCTACATTAAGGGCTGGGTGGGCCTAAAAATTGGTTTTTTTTTGTCCACAAGCTCTTATCACCGCAACTCTTTGCAAAACATTCTCATTTGACATAAGCATGAACATACAAAGGTTTGGAGTTTGCACAATACCTGTAAGTGTCAAAACTCAAACATCTAAAAGTTCAGTGTACACCACTGTGTCAATCTATATAAGTTATGCAAATATACTAATTTTGCTTTCAGAAAAACTTTACTTTAAGGTTCAGATACTACGACAACATAACAAAATTTTATTTTTTATATACTTACAACTTTAGCTAAAAATACTGCGCGCTGAGTGGTCAAACCTTAAAATTTGAGCGGAGCAAAAAGGTTAACAAATTTTAATATAAGAATATTTAAAGTAAATACATTTAAAAAGATGAACAAAATTTCGCTGAAAAAAAAAAGTTTTAGAAACCTGTTACAATTAAATAAGTTTGATCTTAAATGCTTTTATATTATCGAAATGGTTTTCGATGAATTAACAAAACAATTTTAATTAATTTTTAATATAAGTAATAATAAACTGTTGTTTTTTTATTTATATAAATTATGTATTTTTTTATGAGAAATGTTTATCTTTTTAAATAAAATAAAAAAAAGTACAAATGTTAAAACAAAGATTGAAATGGTTTTTTAATGCGTAAACTAAATAGACATAGCATTTTAGTTCGATGAGTTTTGTTTTAGGGTTATATTATGGGTTATATTATATATATTTATTTTTTTAGTGTTTTTGCTTTACATAAGTATTTTTTTTTATTTTCTCTTTTGTTAAGATTTTCTTTTTACAATTTTTTTTTTTTAGATAAGTTTGGGTAAGTTTTTGAAGAGCATTTTTAAAATTTGAAAATATGTCAAAAGCCGGGGTCAAATTGTTAAAACATTATTTTTTGCATGGTCGTATAAAGACATGCGATCGCACAACTTCCTATGAAAGCCTGTTAATTTTCTCATTTGTTTCCAACAAATATGGCATTAAAGCTATGGATTCGCCTGTGTTAAAGTCATCTATTGTTTCCAATATAAATTTTCCATATGGTTTTTAACTTGCAATATTTTTATTATTATTAACTCTATATAAGAGAAAACCTAATAACTGGTTAAAAGATTCATTAGTGATACTCTGAAGATTCATTAGTGATAAATTTGTTTATGTAATTGACAATTTCATGTGCCCTCTCCTTTTTTAACTTATCAACCAGTTCTATAAATGCATTTCTTTGTTTTGAAAAACATGGATCTGTTACATTACCTCTTCTACTACATAAATAATGTCTTTTGATGCTTGTAAATGTAGAAATACCTATTTTTATTGAAACGTTTTTCTTTAATTTACTGAACTTTAAACTAAATACTGAATTAACTGATAGTCTCAAGTTTTTAAAAAGTATTTCTTTAGTTTTTTAGTTTATTTTACATATTCTAAAATACAAACAAAATAAAATCAATTTAATAAATAAGAATTGAACATTTTTCATATTTGTAACTATAAATAAAATATTTACAAATTTTTAGAAAAACAACTGTTTCACTGTTCAAATTTTTTTAAATCTTGTAAATAAAAAAAGTGCTAATTTGCCTCAGTTCCCCTTTTATATTTTAAAAGAAGAAAAATAAAATATTAAAAAAATTAAATCAGATATTTTTATAATGTATGCCCCAGTAGAGACAAGTTCTGACAAAACTCAAAATTTAATCTGGCTTTTTGTTAAAAAAAAAACAAAAACGACAACACAAATTTACAACAAAATTACCTAGTTAAGTTAAAAAAAACTCAAAAGAAAAAAATGTAATTTAAATAAATTACACATTCTAAATTAATTTATTTTAAAATATATGTGATATCAAACAAAAAATAACTTTAACATAAGCTGTTTAACAATTTTCACATTGGTAAAATTATTTTAAATGAAAACAATTAGAATTTACTTAATATTTTTAGATATATAAAAAAGTCAATTTCCAGCTCTGGGTCCAATGTGAAGAATAAGCGACATCTTATATCTGACTACATGAATTTTTGAATATGATTTGAGGTTAAAACATGGGATAACAGTGATATTTTCTTTTTTTCTTGTAGAACTGACAAAGTAAACAATAAAACTGCCTTTTTTTCAAAAACTTTTTTAATACAATTAGTTCAAACCTAGTTTCATCAAGGTACATGAAAGCACTCGACCTGTTGAGATGCTATAAATATTTGCTTTCAACAAAAGTCATAGATTTTCTTTAAAAAAATCCTCAAATTGACCTGTTAAAACATCAGCTGCTATTCAACTCAATGATTTGAACTGTTGAATCATTGGCTGCTCTGCAGACCTGTTAAAACATTGGTTGCTGCTCTGCAAACCTGTTGAAACACTGGTTGCTGCTCTGCAGCTCTGTGGAAACATTGGCTGCTGCTCTAATCAATGATTAAGGTTTTTTTAATGCTACCTAGTTGTTTTGCCCTAAAAAAAATTTTTATCTAAAATATACTATGATAGCCATTCTTTAATTTAGGTGACAAACTGTCACTTATTAGTATAGGTATTTCAGTTACTGTTTTTGTTAACTCCTCCTGTCTTATTGGATGACCATATTTTGTGCAATTTATAAACAATATAGCTATTTATTTCTCCTCATCCTTTGTCATTTCACATCCAATATCTCTTTTTTGCTTGCCTTTTAATGACTTTTTAAAGTAGCTTTTTTAAATATAATCTGACTTATATTATTTTTAAAGTCTCAATAGAATACTTTGTATAACTTATTTTAACTGTTTGAGTTTTAGTGTTTTCTATTATTACATTACAAGTATAAACTTCAAAAATATAGAGTATTAAATTTATTTTGGCTAAAGAAAAAAATAATTTATAACAATGATACAATTTAACATTTTATTGTCCAAAAGTTAAAATAATTCAAAAAATAAACAATTAAAATTAAAGTACGACTTTAAAAAGCATATAATTCAATCTATTTAGAAATGTGTTCATGTCAAATAAAATTATGGAAATGATAGTGGGAGGAAAAATTAACTTTCCCATTTCCTAAATTTCATTTGAAAACAGTCTATTCACAAAAAAAAAGTTTTTTTATAAAATTAATAAATATCTCTATTTAATAAATCATTTACGGTAAATGTTCAACTCAATAAGTAAAAGTGCTTATATAGATTTCAATAAACATACAAGAGCAGGCTTCTACTTTTAAACTTTAAGTCTAATAAATAGAAGTCTAATAAGTATATTTTGTTAGAATTATAATAGGAGGATTGCCTTGATTTGTTTCTTGAATAAGTTTATCTAATTTGTTTCATATCAGAAAGGTTAAAAGTTTTTATTTCTTTTAGTCTAATAGATCTCAATGATTGCATTTGATTTTAAGTTGGTTAAGTGAATTAACCAAATGAGTAAATTACAATTTTATCTCATGAATAATGTCATTGTGATACACAACTTACTATTTTTATATAATCTCAAATCTCTTTATCCAACCACACAAAAAATAATTTATTTCAATAAATTAAACTCCTTACCATGTACTTCAATCTTAAGAATAAATCTTCAATGCAAATCACAAATCAAATGTTTTTGTAAACTTGTAAAAAAAAAGTTAAATACTTTTGTATTTAAGGAGAAATGATCAAAATAAGCACTTACTCTTGGTGATGTCTAGAAAATTTGTTGAACTTGGTAATGATGTTGGAGTTAATACACCTAGAGTTTTAATTAAATAACTGATTTTATAACAAATTTAAATATTTTTGCTAACTAGATAAAGCTGACAAAAAAAAAATTAAAATTGAATTAAAAATTATTTAAAATCACAAAGATTTCGATCAATTTTTGCATTTATATTTTTTATAGCTTTATATTTTTAAGCTTTAGCTTTTATGTTTGAATATTTATATTTTCACTTTTTTTTATAGTTCCACTCCATAGTATTTAAATATATTATTTCTTTACAAATTATATTTACCGGGCAATGTTTCGAAAAATCTTATTGCTCTGATAGTTGCACCATAACCATATCTATGAATGTTTAACTTGTATGATGTTGCTGGTTTTAAATTAAATATTGTATGATTAAGGGTAGAAGTCCAAACCTTTTCTTCATTTGAAACAACACTTGAATTTATTGTTTCATAAAAAATCTACAAATAAAAATTTTAAAAAGACAAAATACAATGTTATAATATTATTTATTAATAACTTTACAGTCCTTACATGGAATGAGTATATTTCTTCAGGCGGACTTTTATCCCAAATAATTGAAACACTTTTGTCAGTAAAAGAAATACTTAATTTGCTTCCTTAAATATAAGAAAAAATAAATAAAAATAAAAATTAAATTCAAATATAAAAAAGGAACTAATAATAATTTTATTAGCATTCCATATATTTATACTTATATTTTGGTTTTATTAGGAGATAAAATAAAAATATATGTAATATTGAAAAGTAATAAAAAATAATTACTTTTCATCACTCCTGTTTGACAAAAGTTTTTCTGATAGCTGTAATTAAGTGGAAAACCTTGAAGTGAAATAGCTGTTAAGTTAACATTGTAGAGAACATTTGGCTCTAAATATAAAATATAAAAATAAAATAAACGTTTGGCTCTAAATATTAAATATAAAAATAAAACATTAAATAAACATTTGGCTCTAAATATAAAATAAAATATTAAATAAACATTTGGCTCTAAATATTAAATATAAAAATAAAATATTAAATAAACGTTTGGCTCTAAATATAAAATATAAAAATAAAATATTAAATAAACATATGACTCTAAATATAAAATATAAAAATAAAATATTAAATAAACATTTGGTTCTAAATATAAAATATAAAAATAAAATATTAAATAAACACTTGGTTCTAAATATAAAATATAAAAATAAAATATTAAATAAACATTTGGCACTAAATATAAAATATAAAATATAAAATATTAAATAAACATATGACTCTAAATATAAAATATAAAAATAAAATAAACGTTTGGCTCTAAATATTAAATATAAAAATAAAATATTAAATAAACATTTGGCTCTAAATATAAAATAAAATATTAAATAAACATTTGACTCTAAATATTAAATATAAAAATAAAATATTAAATAAACGTTTGGCTCTAAATATAAAATATAAAAATAAAATATTAAATAAACATATGACTCTAAATATAAAATATAAAAATAAAATATTAAATAAACGTTTGGCTCTAAATATTAAATATAAAAATAAAATATTAAATAAACATTTGGCTCTAAATATAAAATAAAATATTAAATAAACATTTGGCTCTAAATATTAAATATAAAAATAAAATATTAAATAAACGTTTGGCTCTAAATATAAAATATAAAAATAAAATATTAAATAAACATATGACTCTAAATATAAAATATAAAAATAAAATATTAAATAAACGTTTGGCTCTAAATATTAAATATAAAAATAAAATATTAAATAAACATTTGGCTCTAAATATAAAATAAAATATTAAATAAACATTTGGCTCTAAATATAAAATAAAATATTAAATAAACATTTGGCTCTTAATATAAAATAGTTGTTAAGTTAACACTGTAGTGAGCATTTGACTCTAAATGTAAAACTTACAAAGCAAACTTGAATAAGCTAAAAATGTATTTTTTTTTAATTCCTAAAATCAACAGTATATTTTTAAAATAATTTATTTAATATGTATACCGAAAACTTCAATACGAAACAATTTATTGTCTTTAATGTTATATATATTGGCAATATTTGTATCGTATTTACTAGATTCACTCCACCATTTTAATTCATATGATACAAATTGCTCAAAAGAATTAGGATCTGATGCATTCCATTTTATTTCAAGTCCATCATCATCACTCTTGCAAGTCAAAAGGGATACAGTACCTGTGATGATAAAAAAAATATATTAATATTTTCTTTAAATTTTTTTAAACATTTTTTTTATATATTTTTTTAATATTTCCTTAAAATTTTTTAAAATAATTTCTTTAAATTTTTTTAATATATTTTTTTTAATTATGAACCAAAACTTAATGTGAAAAAGACATCAAATTGGTTTTCTTTATGCAAGATTATAAATTAAATACAATTTGCCAAAAAAATAAAGCTTCTAAGCAATATATATATATATATATATATATATATATATTATATATATATATATATATATATATATATATATATATATATATATATATATATATATATATATATATATATATATATATATACATATATATATATATATATATATATATATATATATATATATATATATATATATATATATAAATATATATATACATATATATATATATATATATATATATATATATATATATATATATATATATATACATATATATATATATATATATATATATATACATATATATATATATATATATATATACATATATATATATATATATATATATATAAATATGTATATATATATATATATATATATATATACATATATATATATATATATATATATATATACATATATATATACATATATATATATATATATATATATATATATATATATATATATATATATATATATATATATATATATATATATATATATATATATATATATATATATATATACAGTACTGGTCATAAGTTTAGAGCCACCCCATTTTTTTTTTGGTTTTTTGCAGATTATAAAGCCATAACCCCAGTGCAGCAAAATATTATATCACTGAAACATGCAAAATATATTGTTATAATATTTTAGTAGAAAAATGAGTATTAAAATATTAATAATGAGTAGGTCCACCTTTATTTTTAATTACTTCAGCCAACCGGGCTGGCATAGTGTCAACAAGCTTCTTGCAATCAACAGCAGTAATACTAGTCCAAGTGGCAGAAATAAAGTCCCAAAGTTCATGTTTATTACTAGCACGTTTGCCTGCACAGCGGCGATCAATATCATCCCACAAATTTTCTATGGGGTTCAAATCCGGTGACTGGGGTGGCCAGTACAAGACTTGAACACCATTAGCAGCTAGAAAATTTTTAGCCACTTTGGACGTGTGCTTAGGATCATTGTCTTGCTGAAAGATCCATGGAAAAGTTGCAGGAAACAATGCTGTTGCTGAAGGTAGCAAATGCTTTCGCAAAATATCTCTATACATGGCACCATTCATGATTCCTTCTACCTGATGCAACTGGCCCGGCCCAAAAGATGACATACAACCCCACACCATGATGCTACCACCACCATGCTTTACAGTTCCCTGCAAACATTCCAATTTATATGATTCATTTTGATGACGCCAAACAAAAATACGTGGATAATCATTATCAGCTAAATTAAATTTGGACTCATCAGACCACAACACCGTTTGCCAATCAGTAACACTAAAATGCAAAAATTTGTGCGCAAATTTGAGACGCTTCTGCTGATTAATTTTGGAGATAAAAGGCTTTTTAATAGTAATACAACCATTCAAACCTTGTTTATTCAAACAACGACGAACAGATTTTGGAGATATTAAAGGTCCACCAACATCATGCCACTGTCGAGACAAAATTTTGGAAAAAAGGCGACAATTTGTTATGGCCAGGCGTTTTAAGGTTCTATCTTGACGTAAAGTTGACATTCTAGGACGGCCACATCTGGGTTTGTCTGTGAATGCATTTGATTCCAAATGTTTCTTATATGCATTTTGTACAGCATGGCAACATTTATTCAATTTTTTGGCTATATCATTTAGGCTTAAGCCACTAACTTCATTTAAAGCCACCACCTGAGCCCAAACATCAAGGCTTTTAGCTTTGCCCATTTCAGAAAGTATTTTCACTTAAACTCTAAAATAAAAACGAAAATAACATTAAATACATTATCTAACTAGTGTACACATTCCAAAAAGTAGCATAAATAACAACTGAATTAACCAAAACATTGATACCAATACATCATAAAGTTACCAAAATATGTCAAAATGTTCAAAAATTGGCTATAATATTAAAGAACTCATGAAAATCAATATTTATATTTGGTTTAATACACAATTATTCATGAAAATCAATAGATTCATACCTTGTCAAATTACTATATGCATTCTTATGCTTATAATGTTAACCTCACCATACTTATACCGCAAAATGATGAAAAAAACAGGTGGCTCTAAACTTATGACCAGTACTATATATATATATATATATATATATATATATATATATATATATATATATATATATATATATATATATATATATATATATATATATATATATATATATATATATATATATATATATATATATATATATATGTATACATATATATATATATATGCATATATATGCATATATATATGCACATATATATGCATATATATATGCATATATATATGCATATATATGTCATATATATATATGTCATATATGCATGTCATATATATCTATATCTATGTCATATATGCATGTCATATATATCATATATATATGTCATATATGCATGTCATATATGCATGTCATATATATATGTCATATATGCATATATATATGCAATATATGCGTATATATATATGCATATATATATATGCATATATATATATATATACATATATATATATATACATACATATATATATATATATATATATATATATATATATATATATATATATATATATATATATATATATATATATATATATATATATATATATATATATATAATGAGAAGCACTAACTTTTATTTATAGTTTTCTAATCTTTTATTACCCAAGCTTTAAACTACCAAGATTAAATACTTGTGCATAGAAAAATACCTATGACTTGAAAGGAAAACTCAACAGTTTGAACCTTCATACCTTCATATCTATGGTTACTCTGATTGTGTTTGTACAGATTAAATAAAAAAAAGCCTGATTAATTAAAAGCTTAAGATTTAAATATTAATTAAAAGAATAAGGCTGTTGGCAATATGGATATTTGTGCAGCTAAAACAACCAGCAAAAAAATAGCTATAAAAAGTATATCAATGCTTTACAGTATTACAATTAATATTAAAAAGTAAGGTTGTAAAATACAAAAGAAGAAATAAGAAAGTAATCAGCAAAAGTTAAGCACAGCCATTTCACATCTTAATGCTGGTAAAATAGAAACATGCATTGAATATTATTATAATTTGTGAATTCTAAAAAATTATAAATGAATTCTAAAAAATTATGAAAAGATTATGAACATTTATGAAAAGAAAAATAATTATATTATGTACAACATTTATAACAAGAAACAGAATACCACCAGAAAAAGGGTAAAAATTAATTTTTATATATTTTAACTTGAATACAGCAAGTAATAAAAGAATATCACTTATGTTTTTGATATTTTATTTTTTCCTTAAACAATTATTTACTTATGTGAAAGACTGAAACTAATGTTTTGTTTATTGCTAACTCTATTAAATAGTATGATAATAACAACTCCACATAAATTAGAGCATTAATATGGAATTGATGAGCTTAGTGCTAAAAGTACTCAAGTCACATAAAAAATGTTTTGAGAAAATCTACTTTGATCAGAGAAATAATGCTTTATTAAGCGTTGACTAAAGTGACTTAAGTACTCTTAGCACTAAATTACTTAAATTACTTTAAATTTAAAGTAAGAATTTAAAATGATTTAAAATGGCTGATCAAAGTAGATTTTCTTAAAATATTTTTTTTTTCGACTTAAGTACTTTTAGCACTAAATGCTTCAATTAGAGTACTTACATTTGTCAAACTTGTATATAAATTGAAGCACTTAGTGATAAAAGTACTTAAGTCACAAAAAAAACATTTTAAGAAAATTCGACAATAAGTCATCATAGAGTTTTGTATAGAAATAAACTAAATCATAAACATAAATAGAGAAACTTACTCTGTATAGAAACTTATTTGCTATATCACAGCAATAATGGACATCTCTTTGAACAGACTTAGATTCAACAAAAAAAAAATTTTATTAAAATTTTTGTTAGATACTTTAATTTTAAATAGAAATTTGTGATATATTTAAAATTTAACTTGTTTTATTAAAAAGTTATAAATTAAAGTTTAATATATTTATAGTACCGTAGCTACCAGCCACAGTGCAAAGTTATATTTTGGAAAATATATGTTTTCCAAAATATACATTTTTTGCATGTTCGGCTAAACATTTGCTGAATGTGGCATCCCTATTTATCAATTTTATATATATATATATATATATATATATATATATATATATATATATATATATATATATATATATATATATATATATATATATATATATATATATATATATATATATATATATGAATGAATATATAATGAATGAATATATAATGAATAAATATATGTATGAATGTATGTATGTATGTATGTATGTATGTATGTATGTATGTATGTATGTATGTATGTATATATATATGTATGTATTTATAAAACATCCAAAAACAATAATCATTTTATATAAAGAATACTAGTTTAAATTTTATGGCTTAAAAACTATCATTTTTTTTTTAACAAAAAATAAAAAAGTACATAATTTCATAGTTTTTTTAAATAAACTTTTTTAACTTGTGTTTTCAAAAAGTATTTATAATATTTTTATATAAAGTTTCACTTCTTTTAAGACCCAACATGATATGCTTTTAAAGAACTTTTTTTTTTACAAAATATTAGGGACCCGTCTGATGCTTAAGGGTCTTGAGCTACCCCTAAAAAACTTTCTTATTCACAAATTTGTTAAATATTGTATACATTTATTACAAATTTAGAACACATTTAGGGGGTGCCATCAGCATTTTCAAAAAATATTTTTTTTTAGAACAACCCTAATATATATATAAGCCTTCCCAGGAAAGGCATGCGGTTTTTTGTGTCGTAGGACCACGAAAACGTTTTTCAAGTTAGAGAACGTGATCACGGCCATTTGCGCAAGTTATATTTTATGCAAGCCTTCCCAGGAAAGGTGTGAGGTTTTCTTTCTCGTACGACCATGAAAAGGTTTTTCAAGTTAGAGAACGTGACCACGTCTTTTGCGCAAGTTATATTATATGCGTTACTAAAAAATTGTTTTAAATTTAATAACTGCATAAGAAATGAAAGTAAACTTAAATAGAAAACAATAATAATAGATTAAATAATTTGTTTGTTGTTTTTATTTTTGTTTTTTCTCAGTGGTTATTATTATCGGCAACAAAATTCATTAAGTCAAAGCAAAAAAAAAAATGGTTTTAGGCGTTAAAAAGGATGACTTTCCCATATTTTATGTGTTTTTTCTTTTAAAGAGAAAAGAGAAAATATGTTTTGTCATCTGTTTGTAAAATATATTTGTATAATTATAATGTAACAAGTTTCTATCAAGAGTTAAATTATACAATCGCGTTTGCAAACTCTGGTAAAATATTAGGTCTTTAAAATTTTAGTTCATGCAAAGCTGTGTACTTTGTTTATAAGGAGCAAATGATTAAAAGTTTGCTAGCGAGAAAGTTACAAAAACAAAACAAAAACAATAAACTTACGACTACAAAAGTAATAACACTTTAGTCACTAACTGCATTATAAAAGTAATAAAAATATAATAGTGTTATTACATTTATATAGCACTTATTACTTTTAAAGTTCATTCTTTGTTCAAACAACATTATTAATTCCAAACATTTATTAGAAAAGTAGAAAAGCATTTAGAAAAAATAAAGCGGATATTCAAATATTATTAAAAACTTTAGGAACTTTCACATATCACTTAAACAACGTTATAAAAAAGTACTTTATAAAAAGTATAGCATTATGAAAAACGTTACGTAAAAACGCGGGTTAATCTTAAAATCAACCAATAAAAAAATTTTATCGGTTAATTTTAAAATCAAAGCATGTTTTTACGGTCTATTAGAAACATTTTTCATAATGCTAAACTTTTAATACGACACGTTTTCATAAAGTTGTCTGTCATGATTTTATAAGTTCTTTAGTTTTAATATTATTTGAACATCCACTTTATTCTTCTAGATATTTTTCTACTTCAATTAAAATTTGGGTGGTCATTTTATCTTTATTTAGTGTTAAATTTCATACCATGGTCATTTTATCTTTATTTAGTGTTAAATTTCATACCATAGGTCATTTTATCTTTATTTAGTGTTAAATTTCATACCATGGGTCATTTTATCTTTTTAATTACTTAATTTGATATTTTAAAATAAACAGATAAGATTTTTTTTTTAGTGTCATATAGTCAGTTTTTTTTTTAACCATACTTTAAAAAGATTTAGTAATTTTTTTTAATGTGAACATAAAGTGAGAAGAATATTTATGTAAAAAGTGTGAACATTTGTTGTGAACAGAGTAAACATTTATGTGAATATTAAGTGAGAAGTTAAAAATTTGTTTTTTTTTAAACATAATTTGTTGACTTTAACAATAATAATTTCAAATTACTTTTTAAATTAATATTTCACAAATTTGAAATACATTCTTGCTATCATCAACCCCTTAAGTGTGCCTTAAATTAAGATCAATGCTTGTTGATGGAAATATTTCTCAAAACAAAATAAAAAAGTGATTAAATTTATTTACTATATTAGAATATTTCACAATAAAATAGTTTAGCTGTAAGAATGATGACCAATTCTTGTTGGTCATTCTTGATTAACTAGAAATGTTTTTAGGAGGTTATAATATCATTTTTGAGTATCATCTGCCTAAAAACAAATCTGTTAGCCCATATATATGCCATTTTTTTCACCTATCCTATTTATTCTTAGAAGAAACAATAACATTAAACACATTTTATTCAACCTACCTATAACCCAGAAGTAAATAGCTTTAATCTCATCTATTGTAAGCCTTTTTTCACAAATAGCAACTTTGTCAACACTAATATCCAAATTAAGAAATTTAGAACTATCCATTTCTCTTTGAAACATTCCCAAAACTATGGTAGTATAAGTATTAACTGCTTCATTATGAGTAAAACCAGTGTTAGTTGTTTCAAGTTCATATGTGTTTAAGTACACTGCCATTCCATCTTCGTCACTGTATAATAAAACAGCATAGTACCAATTTTCAAAACTAATTTTATCTTTAGCATTAGCAACTGTGCTCCCTGAAATACTCATTTCACTATTAAAATAAAGTTGACCTAAAAAAAAAAAAATTTAATTTAAATGTTTAAAAAAATCATTAAAAAAATAATAATAATAATGCACAATTAAAATTTATGGTCCTAAAAAAGTACAAAAACCAAATAACTTTTATTGTAAAACATTTTGAAACCTTTGGAATATTTTTAATAGTTTTTATTATTATGTTATTATAAATATTTAAGAGTTAATTTTAAAAAACATTTGAAATTAGTTAAGATTGATAATCCATAACACATTGTTGTTGTGTAAGCATTTGCCCATTAGTTTATCATTAATTTTTTTTTACAGGGAAGAATTTTTTATTTTTTTAATTTTTAAAGTTGTAAAAAATTTAAATACATTCAATCAAACAAAAACAACTATTAGTTTTTAAGAAACTTTATTTATTTAAAAACAAAAAATTGTTAGTGGTAATGCTAGGTTGTTGAGAGGTTCAGGTGGTTTTATTGAGTTGTCACTTGTGTGGCACTATTTAATGAAATCAAAGTGCTTTTTGCGTAAAGTTTTAGCATTCACAGAAAAGCTTTTGACTTTTTGCACTAATAAAATTCACAATTTTGACTTGATAAAGCATTGTTCAAAACTTTACCTCACTTTTTACACTGAACTTGATTTGCTGTTGTTATTGCTGTTAGAGTTGTTGTTGTTAGATCTCATTGATTTATTAGATTTATTATTAAACATTAGATCATTGTTTTTGTTAGAGCTGTTTTTGATTGATTTATTTGCTGTTCATCATCAAAATTAGACTTATGTTGTTTCCTAGTTGTTTTTTTGCTGCTTTTATTTCAGCATCTTTTAATCTGTTGACTATTTCAAGTTTTTTTGCATAAATGTGCGAAACATTTGTTGTTGCAACAAGTGATTGAGTCAACTGCAGTTATTTTTCATTTACTTGAATAGTTTGAGTGACTACAATAATGAAAGTCAGTTGCAGGCAATTTGACTTTGGAGTTGACTATAGTACTGATTTGTTACTGTAGATTCAGAACTTTTGTATTGAGATTTTTTTATTTAAAAATAATGAATTGGCGAAAGATAATTACCAGCAGCATTGATGCAAATTCAAACTGTATAATTGTTTATTACATATTAATGTCAACAGTTTAATTTTAATAATTATTTAGCACTACACTTACAAACTGTGTGCAAATTTTATCAACATTCCACAAATAGCATACTTTTGTTATTACCTCCTTTGTTGAATTTGCTTTTCAGTGTGTAAAACACTTTGTAAATACTTCTTGCATGCAAGTAGCAGCTATGGGTAATGAAACATTGCTGGCAGCTCTGAAGTTTAATTTATGACTCCACCGGTTACAGGCTTGGTAGGAAAGCAGGTGCAATTGCACTCTATTTCTGATTTAATATAATGTTTAGCTGTGACAACTTGACCACAGCTTTTTAGATTTTTGAGAACATTTAAATTTATGTATGTCAGAAAAATTAATTCTCAACATGTTAAAAAAATTAACTTCGTAACATTAATCTTTTGTAATTAAATGTTTTTATATTAGCAAAATGCTTTTAAAGCGCTTTGTTAATATATAGGGATGAAATACTTTTATTGATTGTTTATAAAAAGGATATTTAAAAATTTCATTTTTTAATTATATAAAGCGTAAGTTTTATTAAAAATTATATAAAGTTCAGTAAATTATATAAACATAGATTAATTTTTTATCATTTAAATGTAAATCTTTTAAAACAATTTGTACAATTGATCTTATAAAAACAAGACTTTCAACAACAACTGCGTTTTTAACAAAATTTAAAAAATAATTATCATTAAACTTAATAAAACTAAAAATAAACAGAAACTTTAAGACAGACAGGAACTTTCAGGCAATTGAACACAAACATACTTATATACATAGAAAATTACGAGTGAATGAACACAATGCCAGAGGTTCAAACAAAAACACAAACATACATCTATATAAAGATACTAAAAGGTTTTATATATGGGTGAACCAGCAATGCACAAGAGGTCCATACAGAATGCAAACATACAAATATATTAAAAAGCCCACTCACTAAACATCATCAGCCATATTGTAAAGCAGTCTTGTAGAAGAAAAGTTTTAAAAAAAAGTTGAGCTGTTTTTTGCACATTTTTTCTCAAAACATCTAAGAAGCCATGTTCAAGTTGATGCAACTAAATCTTATATATCTGGTCAGATATAGAGTATGATTGCACCCATTTCAATGAAAATTTGTACCAATCAATATCAATCCTGTAATATCAAAGTTTGAACAAATCTCTGGAATACTGTTGGAAAATAGATAAGATTGAACAAAGGTGTTGCAATAAGTTTGATACTGTAATTGTAAGTACTCAATCAGTTAGTTTGATGAGCATACCTGCTAGAGTTGATGCAGCAACCTTGTTTTTGTTCTTGTTTTTGATTTTAATGCTAGTTTTTATGAAACTAATGTTATGCTATGTTTTTATTTTTAATCTAGCTAGTATTTAATTTGTATCTTTGCAGTTCAGCAGTTTTAGCACAGTATTGTAGAAAAAAAGAATTTTATCTTTAAAATAGATTTGCAAATAAATAGATTTTTTATTTTGAGATTTGCACAGTATTGTAGCACAGTATTGTAGAAAAAAAAGAATTTTATCTTTAAAATAGATTTGCAAATAAACCAGTTATAAAATATAAAATAACTACAAAATATAAAATATTTGACAAAAATAACCTGAGATTTTTATTGTTAAAATGGATTTACAAATAAACCTGTTTTTGTAATTACAAAATTTTAAAAAAAGATTGATGTTGCTTATTTTTGATCTTACATTATTTATATTGTTTTTTTGTTTTTTTGTTTTTTTACAAAAATAGATCTAGATAAATAAAGAATTATTCTTTTGTAATAATTTTTACATAAGCTTTTTGCAATTTAAAGTTATTGAAAATTTATTTGTAAACCCAATATTTTTATACATCTATTCTCAAATATGTATTGAAAATGTGCAAGTTATATCTCCATACAGTATATTTTTATCTTTAATATTTAACATTATAATTTCTTATTTAGAAAAAGATTTTTTACATTGAAGCACATGATAAAAAATAGGTTATAAAAAAATGATACATAAATTTATTAGACATCAATGAAGGAGAATTTGTAAGACAATGCACAAATCTGATCACAATAAACTTGTCTCAATTGTAAAAAAATTGTAAAAAATAACTGACACAACATTTGAAGAATAGAAGTTTAAAAAAGAAATTCACATGAGTTGATTCTTATAAACACACTAAATGCGAGAATTTATAAAAATCACTCAAAACATCATAATTCATATATATCACTACGCGCAGATATTCTCAAAAGTCTGAAAAATTAAAAGTATTAAAACCAAATTTCTTACTATCAACAAAAGTGAACCAAACTTTAACTTGATCATTTGAATCACCATCAAAAGTCAACAACTCATATTTGTTTTTATATTCAGAATTAATTTTTTCATCTAACAAATTAAACCAAAAGCTAATAGTCATTCCATTCTTACATTGGCTGAAATCATTGAAGCACGGTCTGTTGAAAGTTCTTAAGTTTATTGTGGTAGTAGCAAGTGAAAATGTTAAGCGACTATCTCCTTTACCAGTGTAAGTTATTTTAGAACCTTTGATATTCTCAATTGGCAAAAAACTTGATTTATTCAGCACATAATAATAAGAGGGACAAAAGTAAGATGGACCATAAGAATCTGAAAAATAAATTTAATTAAACATATATTAGACTTAATATATTCTTTAATAAGGTAGATAATGATGATGATTTTTAAGGTTTTTTTAAACTCTCCATAAATAAAATTACTTTATATTGTAAAACGAAAAAAAATTTTAACACAAAACATGTATATACATATTATTATTAATAATAAACTGTAGTGGTGTAGTGGTAGAGCCCTCATAAGCAAGAAGTTCCTATTTTGATCCCCACCACTTCCCTGGTAGTACCACGCTCAACTTGTTTCTCTGCACAGCGGCCTTGTTTGTCAAGGTTTATGTTTCAGAGTTATGGAGTTAAAAGAGGGTTGTAAACACAACTAAAGTAACCTCCTTGACTTTAGTGGCCTTCATAGCCTTGGGGAGATAAATTGATATAAAAAATGAAAAAAAAAATATGATTTATTAATATGTTTAATAAAAAGAATATTTATTAAAAATATGTTTTATAAATTACATAATAAAAAACAAAATAATAAATGCATACCAACAAAAACAAGCTTTGTTGTTTTACTCGAAGCTCACTGTCTCCACGTCAGCCAATCTCTCAAAGTCTTCAAAATATACGCCGCAATCTACAGACTTTATAATTTATTCCAGAATGTTTAATTCCAAAGAGTTTTAGTAAATGATGTTATTGTAGAATTTCGATAAGAAATCTGAAATTTTTTTTTTTTTATAAAATTATAGAATTTTTTATTATTATTATTATTATTATTATAGATTACTTAAGCATTTGATTGGTTACTTATTTTTATATTTCATCATAAATTACTGTAGAATTTCTTTAGTTATTTTCAGCTCAACTCATTTAGTTATTTTATTTTCTAAATTTCGCGAAATTCACATTAAAAATATGAATAAAATAATTTAGATATTTTAAGCTCACCTAATGCTATAAATTATTTTTTGTATTATATTTATTGTTATTAAATGATTATCCTTATAAAAATTCTGTAAAAAAAATTATTTTGTATTATTTAACACTACCGCAAGCCGCTGACAGTGGCTTTGATTTTTTAAATTTTGACCGCAAGCCACTAGTAACAGCTTTTGAGTATGCTTCAAAACTTATCTTGTTTTGTACATAAAATTTCACTCTAGACACATACAATTTGTTTGCTCTTAAGGTTTAATTAGTTTCTCTACATAACCAAGAACAAATAAGAGCCATTTTATGTTAATTTGAAAATTTATTACTTGACAAAGTTAAAAAATCTTGAGTAGCCCTTGATTAAATTCTTTTCATTCTTTTTATACATTAAATGAGTTTTATCATGGACTTAATGTTTTAACTACTATTTATAAAACAATGGTTTTAAGCACTTTGCATTTCTTATTTTTCAAAGATGCATGTTAAAATCTTATTTAATTAAAAAGTTTATTTGTTTAGCTTTCTATTGATATATAGCTTGTTATGCTTTTAAAGAGATTTACTATTCAAATTTTAATTAGTTGTCAATGTTATGCCATTCAAATTTTATTCAAAAAAATATGTAGTTGCAGCGTAAAGATTTTTGTTAAAATAGCTGGTAGAGAAAGAGTTAACCTTATGAAAGTTTAATTAACATCAATGTTTTTATTTTCAGCATTTATTTGATAAACTTTTCATCGGGTACAAGTATTCTCAAAATTCTTATTTAATCTTCATGCGAGAATATATTTAATGTATATTTAATGAGATTTATTCTGTAAAACATGTATTGCTTATTTTATTTTTAAAATTGAATTGAATATTGGTCAAGATTGCAAAAAAGTGTAGCATTATCAAGTAAATTTTAACATCGAAATCTTTCAATGAAAAACTTTTTATTGTCAATTTTGGTAGTTTTTTGATAATTGATATGTTGTATTTGGGAAATATTTTTCATTAAAACTTTTCTCTTAATATAGTAATTTTAAGAGACAAGTTTTAATGTAAAATACTTTCCAAATATGACATTATTAATTAAAAATTTAAGAATTTGTAAATTGTTATTTCGATAGGAGAACAAAAACTTCATAGTTATAAATGGCTTAGATAAACTAGAAAAATAGTTCACATAAAAAACAAAGATTCAGAATATATAATAAGGTCATCAACGTCTTTTTTAATTATTTATTATTAAATTTATATGGTTCACTCTATAAAAAAAACATTCTTTTGTTTAACTTCTTGTAAAATTATAGGAAAGTCATACAATTGATAACTACTTATTTTAAAAAACAAAAACAAATAATATTGATTTAGAAGAAAAAATTTTACAATGAAATTTACTGAAATCTTTGGAATTAAACGCGCTTGAATAAATTATAAATTCTGTAAAGTGTGGTGTATATTTTAAAGATTAAGAAGAATCTCTCTTCTAACATAGAAATGGCGAGATTCAAGTAAAATAACAAAGTTTGTTTTTCTTGATATACATTTTTTATTTTGTTTTACTTGAAAAAATTCTGCCCAAAAATTTTTTTTTTAATCATTCTCTTTAAAATGAACACAACTTGTCTCGGCACTTTGGGATCCCTTCAAGATCTTTTGATTGATTTTTATTTGGACTTCAAACCCTTACTTCAACAAAATTTTATAATTCATCTTTCATCCTTTAACTTTTTATAAGTAATTTAAAAATTTTTAATTTAAACTCCATGGAAACATGGAGAACTTTAATGTGTTTAATGTTAAATATTTATATAAAAAGTGAAAAAAACTGTGGTAATCAAACCATCAGAAATCTTTGCATTCTTTGGAGAAACAAAAAAATGTAAAGATAAATGTCAGAGATAAATTATTTACTTTGTTTTTTTACTTTTCCGCTTTAAATATTTTATTTGAAAAAACCCAAATAATTTGTTAACTAATATATTATATAAAGTTTATTTGAACACAGAATCTTTAAAAATACCACAATGGTATGAAAAAGGTCAAAGTTTTCGAAAGTGGATATTTTTTTCTGGTTTTAAAACAAATGAATAAAAAAATATATTTGATTGTCATTTTTACAATCAGATATATTGATCATCATAAACCTTTTTTTTTGAAGCAAAAAATTAAAAAATTTTATACTATTGCTAAATTCCAAAATCTTGTGTTACAGTTGCAATAATGTACTGAGTATCAAAACTGATGATCTCAATGATAATAATAATGATGGTAATGATGATGATGATGATGATGATGATGATGATGATGATGATGATGATGATGATGATGATGGTGATGATGGTGATGATGATGATGATGATGATGATGATGATGATGTGATGATGATGATGATGATGATGATGATGATGATGATGATGATAATGATGATGATGATGATGATGGTGATGATGATGATGATGATGATGATGATGATGATGATGATGATGATGATGATGATGATGATGATGATGATGATGATGATGATGATGATGCTGACCATGACAATGATGATGACAATGCTGACCATGAATACTATTCCTAAATTAGATTTAAAAATGAGCCTTAATTGCTTTATTTGTTAAATGAGAAATCTATGAAATGCGTTTTTTATTTACATAGTAATATTTTCTAATAATTTCTTTGAGTTGTTAAAAAACTTAAAAAAAAATTATTTTAAAATATATTAAAACAGTTTGAGTTTTTTTATCAAAAATGATTGGTTATTTATAATAACAGCTTCATTACAAAAAAATAAATTTAGAAAAATATTAATTTTTACTAGTTAAAATTTCATTTGTATTTGTAGTTGTAGGTTCAGTTTTGGTTGTTGCAGATTTAGTTGGTGTAATAGCATCAACTGTAGTTTTTGATTGAATTTTTGTACTTTCAGTTTTTGCAATTGTAATTGTTGTTGCCAACTCAACACTCATTGTTGTTAGAGATTTTGTTGTGACAGCTATAGAAGATTTATTTGCTTGAGCTGAAAATAAATAAATGTTAAAACTATATCTTGCTTTAAGGTAAAAAAAAAAAAAAAAAAAAAAAGTTTAATATTCAATAAAAGATAAAATAGATTGGTATTAGATAAATAACACAGGTCAACAAAAATTTTCTGTTGTTGAGCAAACAGAGCATATGTTACTCATTTTTCATCATCACGCCAATTTGTAAAGATATTTGGTTTCAAATCTTAAGTATTTGCTGTAAAATCCCTAATATTGTCAAAAAAAGAAAAATTTAATCAAAAGTATGTCAACCTGGGCCTCAAAAAAAGAATATTCTCATAGAGATTCTAAAAAATATAAATATTTTAACTTAAAAATTATTAACAAAAAAAATATTATGAAAAAATCCTAAAGTAATTAAAAAAAAAATGTTTCTAAGCAAAAATGTGAAAAGTAATAATTTTTAAAATAAACGAATTTTGAAGATTTTAATAGAGGAATATTAAAAATGAATAAGACAGAAAATGCACCCAAACAGTACTTACATTATTAAAAAATAAAATTTTTTATAAACACTTAAATGAACGAAGATATACAACAAATATCAAACAAAAACTAATAAAATCACCAAACAAAAACTAATAAAACAAAAAATTGATTACTAATTAAAAAGTATGCTTAAAACAACGAAAGACCTCAGAAAAAAAACATTAATGCTTATGTGTAACTCTGTGCTTCTTTTAAGACCCAGGTTGACTTTTGATTAAATTTAATTAAAAATATGTCAACCTGGGTCTCAAAAGTAACATATTTTATTAGGGAAATGCTAAAGATTTAAACCCAAATATCTTTACAACTTTTCAGAAAAAAAATAGATACCATCATTTACTCACCAAGTTAAAGTAAAATAACTACACATAATTAATTTCACATAATTAACTTCACATAACTATTTCGAAATAAATCATTTAGATGTACTTACTTGCATTGCCATTAATAACAAATATATTTTTAATAAAATTAGTTGAAGGAAACATTAGATCCAAAGCATAAAGTGTAAGATTTTCAAAACGTTTAGGCCTATAAATGATTGCAGAATGAACATTTGTCCCATTTAGTTTAATTTCAAATTGATAAATTTCATTTTTCAATTCTTGAATTATATCTATTTTTATCCATTGTTCTAACAAAATTGAATTTGTGTTAAAACATCTCTTTTCAATGCCATTAAATAAACATATCTGCAAGTATCCATGAGAATTTAGACTAACACTGGGTCCAAAACTATTATTAAAATGAATAACATTGTACAAACTACCTGAAGAGGGAAATTTATTGGGATAATATTCAAATGAAAGAAAGTATTCTTTTTCAAGTGCTGGTAAAGTAAGATTCTTTTCTTCAACTGGCGTTGTAAGAATGTTATGAACAAACCAATCTAAAATTAAAAATCTATTAAAACTTAAATAATTAAAGTTCTATTAAAACTTTATATAAATCCATTTTCGGGATACCCTAATATGTAAAAAAATTGTAATATATTGATTTATGACAAAATTTGTTAATTCAAACTTAATTGATATATTGTTGACTTATGACAAAATTTGTGCTATAACGACCATTTAGTCATATAAATAAATATAAAAACATATATTTACATATAATATATATATATATATATATATATATATATATATATATATATATATATATATATATATATATATATATATGTATATATATATATATATATATATAATTACAAGTATATATATAATTAAAAGTATATATATAATTACATGTATATATATAATTACATATATATATAAATATATATATATATATATTCATTTTGGTCAGGAAGGCATGCCATTTCACGGCTTTATATGACACGCTAATAATATTTTGTTTTGACAATTTGATCACAGTTTTAACATTTTAATAAAGCGCTTAAAACTTAACTTAGTTATAAAAAAAAGAAATAAAATCTTCTTAAAAAAGTAATGAAATATAAAATAAAATTAACTCAGTAATAAATAACTAAAAAAAAAACTAAAAAAACTAAAAAAAAAACTTAACTAAAATAAATAATAAACAATAAGATAATTACATATGAAATAAATAACTTTGAATCTTTATTAATGTTTTTATAATGTAAAACTAGTAGTGTCCCGTCTGCTTTGTTACCGCACCATATAAAGTTATATTAATATTAAAAAATAAATATTACTAATTGACAAAAAATTGTAAATAAACACTTTTGTTTTTATAAAAAACTTCATTGCGCATTTGTGGTATTTTTTTAAAGAAACGATTTAATGACGACTGACAAACGAACAAAAAAAACATGTTTTTTCTTTATTATATAGATATAGCAAAACCCTTTTAAACAAAGTAACAACTTCCAACGATTTTTTAATAAATACGCATATTTAAAGAGATCCCCAACTGCCGAGACAAGTTGTGTTCATATTTTAAAAAATGTTTAAAAAAAACATTTGGGCTAAATTTTTTTGATTAAAACTTTATAATAAATCACACCATTAAATTTAAAATTAACGTTTTAGTCAAAGCTTGCCGTCTCCATTTTTTTTTGGTTCTCGAAGTCTGTATAATGTTAGCCACAATCTACAGACTTGATAATTTATTCCATGCATGTTAATTCATAACAGTTTCAGTATATGACATCATCCTTTAAATTTTTTTCTTTCAAGATGTCGTATTATTTTTTTGCCAAAATCACCAAATCATGTTAATTGTATAACTTTTTACTAAATTTGAAAAAAAAGATTATGATGCAATTAAATTTAATTTATAAAAGTAAAAATTTAATATATAATGAATATTTACAGTAAAACGTACTAGTTTAAACTTTTTTAATTTTACTAAATCGTATAAATTAATTTAAAGTATAAACTGAAAAAAAAAACGAGTGAATTGAATAAAACATATAAACTGAACTAAGTAGAAAATAAATATTAAACAACTTACTTTACTAATAACCATTCAAATCAAACTAAATTAAAGTTAAAACAAATATTTGTACTAAAATATACAAGAAATAGTTATAATATAAATATAAAAACAAAGAATCGCATTAAAAAATGGAGAAGGCGAGCTTCGACTATAATGCTAATTTTAATTTTGATGGTATGCATTCATTATTGAGTTTCAATCAAAAAAATTTAGCCCAAATGTTTTTTTTAAACATTTTCTTTAATATAAACACAACTTGTCTTGGCAGTTGGGGATCCCTTTAAAAGATAACAACAACAAAAAAAAACTTTACAATTCTTCGTAGTGATGTAAAAAAAAGAAAAGTAAGTAAATCTTTTCTTTTGTCAGAAATCCAATATCAGAAAGCAAATAAGGAAAAATGAAGATTAAAACAAAAATTTTGTTCATTGAATAAATTATCTGTCTGCAGATTGCAGACAGATAATTTATTTAATGAACAAAACTATCCCTTTAATTTATAATTTGATTTAATTTGTTAATAATTCTTTTTTTTTTATTTAAAGACTAAAGAAAAAAATCTAATGAAAAAAAATTATTAAAATAAAATTATATATATTTTTTTTTTTCAACTTGCATTCTTGCAAAACAATTTGTTATATTTCGAGTATGTTAAATTTAATCCATAATTTTTTAATTTAATGACGAAAGAAAAATACATTAAACTTTAATGTAAAAATATCATTAGCAGAGAATTGTTACTTTATTTAATATTCTAAACTTAAAAAAGTACAATTTACATTTTAAATCGGCTAAAATTTGGTTATAAGGTGCTGACATTACTTATACAATTTTCATAAAAATTAAATTCAAACATTTTTGTTAATTTTTATTCAAGGCTTAAAAATTAATATAATCAAAATCAGATTAAAGTTACTTATTTCATGTGTGTTGAATATTTGTACTGAAAAAAATAATATCCTCTAAAGATATCACTACAATATCACCTATTAAAAACAATTTATTTTAAGTGTTTAACAAAACTTTCTTCTACTATTTATTAAATATATTAGGCTATTTTTTGTGTTTGAATCTTTTTTAAGAAAGAAAGACTATCGAACAATCTTTATTTTCTTAGACTAGCAGAGCTAGTCTAAGAAAATAAAGATTGTTCGATAATAATAAAAAAAAGATTCCTAGGGATCCAAATAGCAAAATGAATTATTTCCACAGATAACAGTCTGTTCTATTTTTCAACTACATTTCACATTTTACATTTACAGGGATTTGTTCTATTTATTCTATTTGCTCTATTTTTCATCATCAACTGAGTGGTTTAGTGGTTTACTCTCATGGTGTCTGTTTTAATCCAGTGAAGTGGTTTAGTAAAGTGGTTTACAAGAGCAATTTATTGCTCTTGCAAAAGTATAATTTTTTCATATATATAAACCATTTTCTATTTTATTTTTAATTTTAGATAATGATTAAAATAATTGTAGATAATGATTAAAATAATTTTAGATAATGATTAAAATAAGTCGTTAATGAATAAATGGATAGTTAGAATGAAAACCCAAAGAAAACATTTGTCTATGGAATTTTTTCAGGGCGTAATAAAAGACTCTAAATATGTACAAATTCTTGTAAAATTATCATTTATTTCTCTGAAAATGTCTTGAACAACCTTAATTGTAATACAAATATCAGGAAATCAAAAATGCCTTGAAGAAAATTCACCAGCACAAATAATTAGCCAATATGACTGTACGATAATAATAGGAAACCACTCCATTTCAACTCAACTTTGTTTGTGATAAAACAACTAGTATCACCTCTTTTCATCAGTATAAGCATTTTAAAAAAACCCTGGTTTCTGATGCTTTATTTTGGAGGAAAACATGAAGCGATCCAATTCTGCCTTGCCTATCTTCCATGAAATGTAAACTATATTTTCCTGGGATCAACACAACTCAATTCACTACAATTGCAACATCTTCACGACGACATAATCTGAATGCTGACTTTATTAATAGTGAAATTAATACTACAAACTACAAGCCCCTGGAGAGCCCAATGCTTTGGTACAAACCTATCAAAAACACTTCGTTGATTCATAAATATACATACTCCTCTGAATCTTAACCTTGTCCTACTAAATAAGGCAGCTATGCAGTATATTTAGTAAAATAGACCTTAAAAACACATACCACCAAATCCACTAAAAAAGAAAGATTATTTATTGACTACCTTTGAAACTAATGGAAAATCGTATGAATTTAAAAAACTCCTAGTTTTTATAGCATGAAGAGACAGATACAGTAAAAGGATACAACTTGATGAATAAAATGCCAAGCAAGAATGAGTTTTGGTTTGTCATCAGCAAATAGAGCCACTTTAGATTTCTTGAAGATTGTTATTGTAGATAAGAAACAATACAGGAGCAAAGATAGAACCTTGTGGTAACCTAAAAGTTGCTTGAAATAAAAAAGAGTGTAGGTCTTCAAGAATAACTTTATTACTGCAGTAAAAAGAAATAATTTAATAATCTCAAACCCGTTATCAGGCCTTGCGATGAAGCGGGAGTGATTGTTCCATGCACATGAAACATGCCCCTATATGGTCTTAGTAAGCCGGGAGTAACAAATAGTGCTCACTAGTTTCGTTACGATAGTAAAAAATCACCCTTGTCTGAAGAACTTGCAAGGGAGAAAATTATAACTTGATTTTAAAAAAAATATTTTCAGTTAAATTTTTTTGCTGAAGTAAAAATATGTCTAAACAGTACAGTTTGCATATTGTTAAATGAAGTTATATTAGTAATAAAGTACGTCAAGCAAAATTTATGCTTGATGTACTTTAAGTTTAAATAAAAAATGATCAAATTCTTCTATTTGAAAGCTAAATTTAGCATGTTTTTCTTTTAAATTCCAGTTGAACTTTATCATATTATCTGCTTAATCGTACCCTTGTTAAGTTGAACCTTTGCCAACTTGTACAATTTTTTTAGGATCCATTTGACAAAAAACTTTACTTTTACTTTGAATTGCATAAAAGTCCATGTAATAAAATATCAAAACTTGCAACACTTCAATGAAAATTCCAAACTTAAATGTTAATAAATCAAATATCTAGTGCTATATTTATAAAAATGTAGCGTAATATTTTTTAATTTCTTATAAATAAATATCTGCCAAGAAAAATTTATCAAGCTAAAACTTTACTTGTAGCTTTGATTTTGTACAAGATCACATTCTATTAATTAATGACTATTATATATAAAATTCAAAAACATCAAAACGTTAGAATATGAAATACTTTGTCAAATATAAGTTAATAAACTAAATATTTGCACTGACATCTTTGAATTGCTTATATTAAAGTCTATTTAATAAAAAAAATTAGAGCTAAACAAAACTAAAAATTAAAAAAAAAAGGTTTCAATAAACAATAGGTATAACAAATATAATTGTTATATAACTTTCA